TTAAATAGTTTAATAATGTCCTGCCCAAGTTCAGCTACTCCTCTGAACAATGTTATTTCTTTAACGTGCATATGTTCTCTTTGATTCCGAGGAAGCACCAATCAAAATATCCTACAACACCTTTCAGCTTTTGTTCCGTTTTCTTTGCTAATGCTTATGTTTTTTATCTTATATTTTTATAGCGCCTTTATCCAAGGCTTATCAGTGGTACAACGAGGGTGGCTGAAGGTGATATCCTAGTTAGTTCCACTGCTGGATTATATTTTTTCCGCCTGAGGACGACCGCTTGTGTTGCGATCGAAACGTCGTGATATATTTTATTTTATACCTACGTCCCTATACCGAAAGAACCAAAGAGTATAGGTGATGTGCTGTTTAGGGATGGGGTATGAGGAGGGAGGTTAGTGTGTACAGGAATTACTGGGGTACCTCGGGACGAAGGGAAGGATGGGCCAGGGAGAATAGGGAGGAGCACAAACTCGACAGGGAGGGTGATCGTCGCTTAATGCGGTGGGGAAGTTTGTTGCAGCGTAAGGATGCAATTAGAGAAAAGGAGCGGACTGGATTTTCTGACCCGTACACATTCAAAGTGTGAAAATAAATGGAAGGCCTCCTGACCAGATGGTGCAACTGTGGACATCATCAAAGAAGCGGGACCGATTGATGGAGCAATATTCGTGGCCCCGCTCACGAAAGTCATGGTTGCGCTCTATTCACGTATGACCGGGCGTTTTGACTTTATCACCGCTTGCTTCAGTCAAAGCATTTGGAAACCTCAAATTCTTTTAGCTAAATGTCGACACAAGCCTCAATATTGCTATTTACAAAGGGTTATAAAACGAATTTGACGATCCATATGTCATAAGTAATTGACACTTGCAAAAGCCTTAATTAGGTCCACTGGTAACAATATATATTGCATTGTATACGTGTGGAAATTTTTTTTATCCTGCGATATCGAAGAATTGTGAAACGTGGAGAGACCTTCATCCAGCAGTGGATTGACCATGGCTGATGATTGTGATAAAGCAGAGCTCTACACATTTCAGTATCTTCCTGCTAGAGGGAGAGAACGTGTGAATGGTTTAGAAATATACACAAGGAATATTCAATATTCAGTGTGTGCGCATGTATTGCTGCGTTAACCATAAACATTCAATTTCAATGAAATTTGTTTGATGTGCATTGCCGTTGTCAGGGTTTGATCCCTTGATTGTAAATTATGTGGCGACTGCGGAGTTATCAAAGGTGTCTATATTGGGTTTATTCGGACTTAATAACCTGTGATTCATTTCCTTTTGAATTTTCCACGCTCTGAACAGCGCAAGCATATACACTATCTGCTTTAAATTTTTTGTACCCTCCGCTTGGCTTGTCTGATGAATATCGAAACTGCCATGAAGATGAGGGCAGCCACACACACACACACGTGCATTTTCCTGTGCATTGCGTGGCGAGGTGTTAACTCCCTCGTCTGGTATGAAGGATGTCGTGGGTTCGATCTCAATACTGACGCCTGGATATATTTGGAGTTTGCATGTTCTCCCCGTGGTGGCATGGGTTTTTCTCCAGGTCCTCTGGTTTTTTTAAAATCTAAACATTGAAAATCATGCATTTAGGGTATTTGGCTGCTGTAAATTTATATAAGATAGGCCACTTCGTTAAGCTATTATTTGTGGGCAGGTCGATTCTGAAAAAGAGCTATATAGCTCAGTGAGCCTTACCTGGTGGAATATTTTTTTTATAGATAATGTGTAGTATTTATTTTGCACTTTTGTCCAAAAGGCAACAATTGCACACATCTGAAATTCCAGTCCTCTGACTGCAGTGGCCTTTAGACAATTTTATTTTTCTCTTTATTTTTTTTTATCAAGCAAAGGTTGTCTTTTACGGCATTATAATGCAGAACACTCTTAACGGGTGCTACGCAAAGACCTCTTTGTTGGCCATTAATCCTTTTACCGGCGCCGTTTTGAAGACAGCAGCTGGGTGTCGGGGTGGAAACGCAACGGAAAGTGGCGGACGAGAACTTCGCGTCGCTCCTCGACGGCCGCAACGCAGCCACCGCCGCCACTTTGGATGCCTCGCCGTACAAACGTGGATCGAAATGAATTGCCGAGCGTCGACTTTTAAAGCGATGCGCTGATAAGAAGGCGGCGGTGGTTCCTGCGAGAGAATACGACGTTGCCTCGCGCGGCGCGCACCGTCCGTGGAAGGGTTAATAATGGTGCGGCGAGTAATTGCTGAAATCCATTTCACTTGTCAGCAATCTGTCGCGATTTTCTTTCATTTAATGGAGATGTTCAAGCGGGTACTGGGAGGGGTTTGGTGGGGGGGGGAAATGAAAAAAAACACGGTGCTTCATTCAACAAGCGGCCTTTCCCAGATTGCACAATTTGCATGGAAATGTGACAAGCAGGGAGAGGAAGGTGAAAATAACATGAAATAACATAGAAAAAAGAGACAGCAATAGAGAGGTGACAGACTGAAATAGACAAAAAGCTGGACGTGTCGCTCGCGCGCAAAAAAATAACGTGAGCGAAGAGGAAGGTTAAATTTGAAAGCTGGTTTTGAAGCTCATGCAATTATATTCCAACATACGAACCACGTGCGTGCCACACGATCATCGCAACTGTCGGTGTAAATAGCCATTGTGATCGTGCTCTAATTGCGTCGAATATCGTACGAATCTGTGATTTTGTCGAATAATATTTCGCACTTCCAGTTTTTGTTTATTTACTTGACAAGGGCTACGCAAAAAAGGCCAATAAAATCACCTGAAAGATTTGGTGCGTTTGTGCACTGTTCTGGCTCAACTACATTATTTACAACTGCTTTCTGTGGTTACCGCACGGTACGTTTCAGTTTCATTTATTAGGATTTTCCCTGTGAGCCATTCGGCTCTTGATTTGGGTTCAACCGCAACAAACAATAAAATTACAAGATACACCTACAATTCATTGTACACAAATCTAAACATCACATACGTAAACAATAAAATCCTACATAAAAAGCACCACCCGTCCATGCTGCGTAGCGTGGTTGGCTACGTACGGTACAAAAGAAGTTCAACATACATATTGTCGAATGCCTCAATGACTCTGCCTTTCCGGGAACAACCCCGTAAAACGCTCCCCACTAAATGGACAATGCACTCTCCTGAAATTACCTTGAATGCGCCTCATCTCGTGAAGATGCCCCCCCCCCCGCCCGCAGTAGTGGGTGATGAAAACCTGAGCGGTGAAATGCTCAACGCAAGGGCCTTAACCTGTAAGGTCACATCTGAAATCCGTACGGTGTGCGTCTTGGTCCCGTGCATCCAGAAATCAACATTTGTATTACGTTCAGCGAAGGGTGGAGCCGAAACCTGAGTCGACGCGAGATCATTCAAGTTAGCCGATGTAACATAATAGCCACTTAAGCATCGCTTAGAAGTGACGTCACGGTGCGGTGAAGATTACGTGCCACTATATACACTAGGTTCAAACGTTAATTCTCTCCAACTGGTGTATTCATTAAACAGTGGGCTCCTCTGTCAGTCTCTAAATGTAATCTGTCCGCGTTTATTTTTTGTTGTTCTACAATTATCAGCCTTCATTCCATTGTTTTTGTTTTTGCCAGTAGATACATCGTCCGAACTGTTAATAAAGGCAACTACGGCTTGGGCAGGACGCGTTTCTAGAAAGGATGGTGGCGGGTGGTCGAGACTAATGAAAGAGCGGCAGCCAAATGAGAGAAATGCGCCCTCGGATGATGTCCATAAAGAAGATAGTGCAATGGAATCGGCTTGCGTGCAGGTGTTCAATGAATTGTTACATTTCAAGACTCTTGAAGGCAGTGACAGCTTTGGGAGGTCTTCATCCAGCTCTGGATTTGACCGTGGCTGATGATGAAGATGAACACTAGAAAGCATAAGTAAATGTTAAGCGAACCAACAACCGGTCAGGGATTGGTACAGAGCAAAGGGTAGCAGTGGCTTTTGGCTAACCATCGAACAAAGACGGTCACTTGCTTCGCGCGCTTTGAGATGCGCTTCTGCGATTATCTGGAACGCGCTCCCTTGCAATGTCGAAAAGCCACTGGGAGATAGGCACTATTAAATCAGAATTGAAAACTCATTTAGTTAGACCTGATTTTCATGTTTAGTTTGTTGTCCTTCCCCCACACTTCCGACTAGCATGTTAAGCTACGTAAGGTGCAAAAGAAGTTCAACATACATCGTTAGCAGAGGGAAAGATTTCTGATTTTTGTTCCTCATGACAACCACGTGCTGATTAGGCAATCGTCACACACCGCATGACGCGAGCCTAAACATCCAATGTGGTGGTGTAAACACGTTCGACTTTAAACTATCCGAGGTGTGCCGAGTGTCGTGAGCAGGTGGTACAAACGTACAATGCATCGGAGAGCTCTCGGGCACAACCGCAAAAAACCTAGGCACGACCTTTGATGTAACACGAGTCCAGCGACGACGGAATGACATAACGGATTTAAATTTCGATTTAAAGCTTTCGTGACTGCAGGGATTCATCTTCTTAGTTCTTTCGGTAAAGTCACGTAGAATGGAAATAATAAAACGCAAGTAGCCGTCCTCAGGTGAAGACCAGGTCTGTCGGGGAGACAGCGTCTTCACCTGAGGACGGCTACTTGCGTTGTGGCCGAAAGGTCGTGAGAATTATTTTATTATGTTTTATTTTATTATTTTATTATTTCCATTCTACGTGACCTCACGGAATTACAGAATTCCCGTGTGAACACATCCTAAGAGTTCCGTGTGCAATCGGTTTCGGTATCACGAGAGGAAAAACTGCCTTAATACGAACAGGTTAACTACCGCTGCGATTTCTCGGTTTGTGCCGTACAGCTCTCAGATGTGTTGCCTGTGTTTGTTCCGTGCTTTTGTTTGGCAAGATGCCTGACATTTCACTCCACGCGATGGGGGAGTCTTCAGTTGCCCGAGGAGAGCTGGTTATTCGATTTTTTTTCCTTCTTCTACGCAGGAGACCAACGTCAAGATGGAGTGCTGCTGCTGCTGCTACTGCTCTTGACTTCAAACCGCACTTGTCCACTGTCCATTACTAATGCAGCCCATGGTCTCTCCACGACACTGCCAGGGCGCTGTCTGGTGTGACATCGCAGCACGTTCTTCGGACTCGACTGAGTGATGCGAGAAACATTCCGTTATTTATCTATTTTTGCACGCGGTGTCGTCTTGAAGCGTTAAAATGCATCCCCAATTTGCGTGCGTCGTGTGGGCCGCGTTTATCCCCGCGACCGAGCACGGCGGCTGTTAACTGGAAACACTCCACAGAAGTAAATTCCTGTCTGACAGACCACCTCTCCTAGTCCACCCCCATTCCCACCCCCCCCCCCCCACCACCTTCTCACGAAGTGTCGTGCCAATTTCCTTTTAACGCCCCCTGACCACCCGAGGGCATGGAGCAGGCAAAGCCGCGTGCCGAATCTGCGCGTTGGTGCGATAAGTCCAGAGGAATTTAATATGCAACACTGCGTTGAGGTTTTTAGTCCACTCCGAATAGATAGTACAACCGAGGCATGGTAAGCGATGTTGTCTCTTCAGATGTGTGTGGTCTGCCTCAAATTAATCTGCAAAAAAAAACGCGTGTACGTGGGAGAGGACAGGTGGAGCAGGGTTCAACTCCCGGCTACGGCTAACATCAGTGGCGGGTGTTATCTGAACTGTTCCTGCTGCCGTTCCCCCAGCCCTTCACCAACCTACATGTGTAGTGACATCGAGGGATGTCACCGAGTAGTGCCGGCCTTAGAGAGGCACGGCGTGCGGTGTAACAACATCGCAGATACCACTGTGGTGTGGGTGTAGTGCCGGCCCTAGAGAGGCTCGGTCAGCGTTGATTGATAGCGCTGGATGGCACCACGCTTGGCGTACAGTGCCGGCCCTACAGGACAGGGTGTGGGAGTGCCGGCCATAGGAATGAGGTTACTGAAGGCCATGGCACTCTGATTGACCCGAGAGGACACGTGACCGGTTAAGTCTACAAAGGGGTCCCAAGTGGGGGCTAGGGGTGGTCACGTGGTCGGGGTCCAGATCCTGCTCGAGGATTCTGGAAGGTGGTCATGGCCAAGGGCGGAGCCAGCCACGCCGCAGAGAATATAAGCCGGGTCCCCCAGAGGGGCCAGCATTGTTGTTCATCATGAACAAGTCTTCGTCTACGTCCTATGTTTTACCGAGTCACCAACACGTGGACCTGGACCCGAGCTGTGGTCCTGGTCCGTTGTAGCTAGTTATGATGTAATTAGTGTCGTTAGCCTGGTGGTCATCACCATAGGTTGTTATTCTGTTAAAGGGCAGTTACCCCGTGTGGTGGTGTTAAATAAATGTGTTGCCTCATAAAGAGAACGTCTGCGACTCAGTTGAACTCACTACACATGGATCAGCGTGGTTCAACAACAAACACAGCATGGGGGAGGCCTTTCATACAGTCATGGATGCATAATTAAACTATTTGACTAAACATGCGTGGACAAGAAATTATTCATTGCTCAAAAAAAGTTTTAGGTTTGTTGAAGAGAATTTTAAAAAATTCATATATTTAACATTTCAATACACCAGTCATGAAAGGTCTCGATGCATTTATTGTATTTGCTTTACAGCAAATAAACGGTAAAAAAATATAAGTGGCTTAGTGCTGATTCTAAAATTCAGCAGCCATGAGCAATCCAACTGGACGATGGCCTCCCGAACCTATCATCATCTCTCCTAATCCTGCAATGTCATAATCCGCTGAGTACCTGTGCACGAGCTGATTGCATTGCTCCATATTCTCGGTGAATTTTTTCTTTGGCTGCCTGTGCCATCATTAGTCTTGGCGATCAGCAATCATCCCCTCCAGCTACGTGTACAATTAGGCTCGCGTAATCGTCACTTTTTAGAGGGTGGTGGGAAAAAAATTCCATCTCTAGGTGGAAGAGTTGGATAAATGTGCTCTTGAATAGTGCCTTGCGAGTGTGTGTCCATTGTGTAGTGACTTATCTCACATTACGTGCCGTTAACCAGAGCATCATTCCAATTTCGATTGCAAAAAAATGTAATAGCAAACACTTCCTAATACCCAATGAGCTATATAAATGTGTCGTTAAACCCACCACCACCCGACACAACCAATTAGTAAGGTTTGTCACGTAAATAAAACATGGCAATTCGTTACTAGCACAGCACACCGGTTTGTTGGAGAGTTAACCCACAACATTTACAGTTCGAGTACGACGTTTCGCCTGCAATTACAACGTACATCATCAGGAGACAGTCAGACTTGTGGAAACATTATCCTGTTGTGGAGGGATGTTAATGTACGTATTTACATTACAATGGATATCCATTACCGGTTGGGTTATTCATAGGGTAATCAACATACACACTTCCTCATACCCATCGACACCCACCACCGATGCATATGCGTGCAATTTCTTGCCATGGAAACTTCTTCAGATGAAGTCTCTGGTGTAAAGTTGGGAGTTTAAGTGAAAGCTGTGAATCGAGTGTGAGCTCCACCTAATGAATGTTGTCTGCGTTAGAGCTCCCTGTGTAGGAAGAGAAATGTGTGTCAACTTGTCAATTAACTACGGAATGAAGACATCTCCACAGCGTATACGGCCATGGGGGTTGTTTGACCATACTTCACCACGCTAGTCAGTGCGAGTTGATAAACGTGGGATCAAGATCAATTCCGATTTCATTTCCCTCTGATGTTATCCATGGAAAGGAATAGAAATCAGCAATACCCCAGTGGGTTTTACCTCGTATGATATATTGTTGCAATTATTTGTTTACCTTTCCTATACTTTGCGCTCCTATCGTGTTGTTATAGTGTTTGTTCATACTCTTAGGTTTTTTCGGTAAAGTAACGTAGGTAAAAATAATAATAAAAGAAAATAATAATAATAATAATAAATGAAAATAACTCAATTAAATCACGACGTTTCGGAGGCAACACAAATCTCCGTCTTCAGGCGGGACCGTCACAGCCAAATTTACTGTATCAACCTTCTTGGTTTTTTCGGTAAAGTCACGTAGAAGGGAAGTAATAAAATAATAAAAATAAAACATAATAAAATTATTCTCACGACGTTTCGGCCACAACGCAAGCAGCCGTCCTCAGGTGAAAACCAGGTCCGTCGAGGACGGCTGCTTGCGTTGTGGCCGAAACGTCGTGAGAATAATTTTATTGTGTTTTATTTTTATTATTTTATTACTTCCCTTCTACGTGACTTTACCAAAAAAGACAAGAAGATGAATCCCTGCAGTCACGAAAGCTTTAAATCAAAATTTACTGTATCAAGTGAAGAGAAATCCAAGAGACAAGATCGTATATATACTGGTTAAGGGTAGGGGGGCGGAGCTTATCTAAATGTGGCAGTTGGGAACTGGGAGGGTGGGGGGGGGAAGTGGGCGGGGCTAGAAGCCGAGGTGTATCTGCTGTACCTTCCCTTCTAGCCCCGCCCACTTCCCCCCCCCCAGTCCCCAACTGCCACATTTAGATAAGCTCCTCCCCCCTCCCCTGAACCAGTATATAAGATCTTGTCTCCTGGATTTCTCTTCACTTAATACAGTAAATTTGTCTGTGACAGTCCCACCTGAAGACGGAGACTTTTGTTGCTTCTGAAACGTCGTGATTTAATTGAGTTATTTTCATTTATTATTATTATTTTATTATTATTCGTTTTATCTACGTGACTTTACCGAAAATACCTAAGAGTATGAATCCTTGCAGTCACAAAAGCTTGTTTGTTGTTGTAACGTTCTGACCAGCCTCGATTGAACATCTGTGAAAAAGAGCTGTATATCTCATGGGATTCCTCCAGTATAAACACATTCTGATTCTGATAGGAAAATGTGTGATCCACCACTCCACCCTATATACCACAATTTCACCCTTCTATATATCTCCATTAAGGATGCGTTCATGATTTTTTTTATCAATCCGATGAATCTGAAAATCGACCAACGATACTACTTTTCGGACCGTCTCCCATAAAACATTGTTTTGGATTGATCCGACAATGAGACGTTCAGAAAGTGATGTCACAGAGAGTCATGCCACCGGAAGTGATGTTCCCTCAATGGCGTCGACTCACTTGCGTTACTTCTGAGATTTGTTTCGCCAAAAGTGCAGTCATGTGATGTAATTTGAGCATATATTGTAAAAACAAATATTTTGATTGAAATCACGTTTTTACCGTTGCCGATGTATGTACAAAAATAATTCATTTCTTAGCATATACAAATGATTGAAATTAAGTTAATATAAGATTATATATTGTGTTTTAATAGATTTAAGTCTGAAAATACTAAATATTTAAAATGAAAGTAGGCTTAAAAATCAGAAAATCCTATAGCTGTAGCTATGAAATAAGAAACTCATCCCTAATCTATGTCTACATGCGTGCACACTAATATACAAAGCATATTGTCGCATGCATATGAGTATCTACTCATGTATGCGCTGCAGATGTCGTTTTGGCATACATATAGAGCCATTTATCTGCATATGACCACATTTAAGTGTATGTTGCACATGACAAATTGTGTTGTTTCGCTACATGGCGCAGTTTCAGGACATCACGTGGCTATTTGGCCCGCGTTTGTTTTAAACAATGCGTCAGGTATTCCACGATGAAATGTAACACACTATAAAATAAAACACAGTGACATTATTAAGGTGATGATTAATGGCCAGATTCATATCAGTGTGCTGCATTCGTGCAAAACCCTGTGACAAGATCACCCTTGAATGAATGCGCCCGAGATTATCCGGGGCTTGGAAAACGAAGCAAGGATTAGCCTGGTTATAGCTCGGATCGGAGTTTTCCTGAAAATACCAGGTCTTGCAGGCTTGAGTAGTAAGTTGATCATGACATTCCAGTAAATAAATGGATTATTACATCTATCAGTGTGCTGCTTTGAGTATTACCTTCTCGTATGTTTCAACTATTTATGGATAATTTTTTTCTCCTGCACACCAAACACTTCATTAATGGAAATGGCCAAACAACCCAATGCAGGACCCTCCTACAAGTGAGTATCGAGGACCAGCAAGGCTTTCCTGGATGAATACAAGGCTTTATTTTGTCAATACAAAAATAAGGGTTCAGAAAATTAATAAGCATTCTTACACAAAACCTCCTCACATTCTAAAATGTATCTTTTACACCCAACCGAGCATTGCTAGATAAAAACGTTTCCGCCACCTGGCATAATAATACTTTCGACAAACACGTCATTTCCTTTCTCGCCAGCTCAATGTATGTCAGGAGTGTCACGGGCTTAGGCATATTGGAGATGCTTAAGCCATATATCATTTCATTT